CAATAAAATAAATAGTTTAGGCCGTTAATATTAAGTTTGGCCCGAATTAACAATAATTCAGTAACTTTGGCCAAAATTATAAAATTTTAATTAACCGTTAATTAACCGTTAATTAACGGTTATTTAACTGGTTAAATAACCAAATTATAATTAACCGTTAATTTTCCATCCTTAGCTATAGTACATTTCTGTACGATCACTGGATGCTGAGATAATTGGCAAAACGTGAAACATTGGCATTTTTATTTTACGATCATGCAAAATTTTACGTTTTGCCGAATATCTCGGCATCTAGTGATCATACAGAGATGCACAATAGCCCATTCGAATCGTCTTAATGCAACAATTCGAATGAGCTATTGTACNAGTGATCATACAGAGATGCACAATAGCCCATTCGAATCGTCTTAATGCAACAATTCGAATGAGCTATTGTACATCTCTGTACGATCGTTGGATGCCGAGATATTTGGCAAACCGTCAAAAATTGGTAGTATCATAAATAAAAAATGCCAATATTTCACGTTTTGCCGAATATCTCGGTATCCAATGATTTTACAGGGATGCACTGTAGCTCATTCGAATCGTTGCATTGAGACGATTCGAATGAGCTATTGTGCATCTCTGTACGATCACTGGATGCCGAGATATTTGGCAAAACGTAAAATTTTGCATAATCGTAAAATGAAATGCCAATGTTTGATGTTTTGCTGAATATCTCGGCATCCAGTGATCGTACAGAGATGCACAATAGCTCATTCAAATCGTCTCATTACGACTATTCGAATGAGCTATTGTGCATCTCTGTACGATCATTGGATGCTGTTTCGGATTAAAATAGATATCCTTAATCCATCTGAATGCATCCATTATCCATTTGGATCGGATGGATTGGTGGATGATCCGAATTTTCAGATTTTTGATCACATCTCTACTACATACTAACATCACAGATTCATTATCTGTAGTAAGTGCTAACGCTTTACCTGCTAATAAGTTGAATTCATTAAGAACATTAGTGATTGCTGCTGCCATATTGATTCCTGTATGACAAACTTTAAAAGGAATAATATCAAGTAAAAAATGCCAAAGAACCCAATTTTGGTCAATATAGTGAATTGTTAGGCCAAGGTATGCTTTGCTACTTATAGTTGATGTCCACATATTGGCAGTGAAGAAAACTTTACTGGATATTTTTTGTAAATCATAGCCAATATTAGAATGATGTTCATTAAATTCATCAATAATCATTTCTTTTATTTGATGTCGATCAGGAATTTTGTAACAAGGATCGAAAATATGCATCATTTCAATAAATTTTTCATTTTCTACAATACTAAAAGGTTGTTAGTTATCAATAATCCAAATAACAACTGCTTTGTCTCGCTCCAATTTCTCTTTTGCAGACCAAGGGTCTGTACATTTGAAATTTAATGTTATTTGCTTTCTGACCTTTGGGATTATTATGTTGTGCTTATTTAAAAGATGCTGTTCAATAGTAGTATTACTTGACTTAATAGAAAATACGTAATTGCACCTTTTGCATACAGGTACTCCCGGGTGAGCTGGACTTTTACAATCTACATAATTCCATAGAGGTGAAGTTTTTCGAGAACTTTCTTCAATATGTAATATGTTATCCAAAATGTCATCACTCTCCAAGTCAATAAAATTGAACGCGTCATCTAAACTCATTGTGTAAGTTTGTACAACAAAAATTATAATACCATGTAATATATACCAAATGTAAAAACTCTTTTTATTAGTTAGGACTCATTTAAGACTAACTCCTTATTAGTCCAAAAAATTGGACTTAAAGATCTGCAGACTCAGTCTTAGGACTGAGTTTTTAGGTCCAAAATAAGGATTTTTACCTAAGGTTGCTTGTCTAAACCTCTTCAAAATCCTACGATTAGTTTCGTTAAAATTTTACTATAGATTTATTATAGTTTTGGCAGAGTTTCGGCAGTTTCGGCATTTATAATAAATTTTGGCAGTTTCGCCTTTCTCCAAAGTTTCGCCAGTTTTTTAATATAACTTTAATATAGTTTTGGCAGAATTTCACTTTTGGCAAAACACCATTTTGCCTAAACCCCTAGGTTTCGGCAAGCAACCTTACTTTTACCAACCCTAATAACGATTGTTAAAGAAAGTAAAAAAAAAAAGAAACTTCAAAGTGTTTACCTTTGAAGTTCTTTAAACAGGAACCCGTATCTTTCGGCTTCCTTTACCTAAAAAAAGAAGTATGAACGTTAGTTAACATTTGTCAATAAATTAATTGCAAAAAAAATTTTTTCAAAGGTTTACCTTTAATATGAAAGTCTGGAACTTGTTTTTAACTTCCTTTACCTGAAAAAAGGAAATATGAACATTAGTTAATGTTTGTCAAATAACTTATTAAAAAAACTTCAAAGTTTTTTTACCTTCGAAATGGAAGTTTGGCGATGTCCTAGATCTACAATAAAAAAGAAATGAACGTTAATTAACATTCGTTAAATAAAAATAAAATTACTTTTTTTCAAAATTCACCTTCAAAATTCTTTCGTCCAGGAGCCAGAGAACAAAAATTCTACAAAAAAAAACTAACTGAAACAGGACCCCGGATATCTCCAAAACAGGTCATAAGTCACACTTTCGGCAGATTGGCCCATTTTTCAGGGGCTCAAAAAATCGTTTTTTGTAAATATCTCGGCATCCAGTAGTCCAATTTTGATGAACTTTTTTTTAAATTGTAGAGCTAAATGAGGGCTACAAAATAAAAAAAAGTTCATTAAAATTGAATTACTGGATGCTGAGATATTTACAAAAAACGATTTTTTGAGTTTCAGCAAAAAGGGGTGTTTTTGGCCAAAAGTCCATTATGACCT